TTTGTTTAGGCTACGGTTAGTTGGTGATTCACTTATTAATATCTGAACACAGGGCACTTACTTTAATCTTTTTTTTTGTGGAAAATAAAACAGAACTAAATTTTTGACACCTGACCACTTATACTTGAGATTATTTGTATAAAGAATAGTGGATTTTGGAAGAAACTCAGAGAAAAATTAACTTTATTCAAAATGTTTGTCTATTTTAGTCCTAGAAGCAGAGAGGACCTACCTCTAGCCATCATAGATGGTAGAAGTTCTCAGGGATGTGTATCACAGAAAACTTTTGTATGGCTAACTACCAAGCTGGGAGCTGGGAGATCTAAGTTCAGATTAGAGAAAAATGTCCTCAGCATTGCTCTAATTAGAAGACATTGGACCATTCAAGGACTGTGACCATGGAAAACCAAGCAGATTAAGTTAGGCGACTGTGGTGAGGGGGCTGCATTTATTAGATTAATGAATCAAGGCCCACCTCTCCTGCTGAATGGTTACATGGAGCTGCTACCCTATGATAGGAGGGTGGGGTGGCTCTTGAGAGAGTTACCATCACACCCCCCACACATATCTGTAAGTGAGGGAATTGGACCAGCTGAGCTCTAAGGCTCTTTCTGGATCCAAACCAGCTGTGATTCCATAAGCACAGAGTTCATCTATTTTTGCAATCTTCTTTTGCTTCTACCTCCACTTTCTTTTCTGTTTTTCTTTTCCACTTCAGAGCGTAGGTCCCATGGAATATAAGAAACTCCCCAGTGAAGTCAACAAGCCTAGGCATACCTCAGACGTGGGCTAGGGAAAAGAAGGGAAGCTGACAAGGTGACTTATGAGGGTCACTGTACTTCAGGGCGAACAGAATGACATCTCATGCATGGAGAGTCAGACATGCCAATTTGGGATGAATTACTTGGAACCGTTGGACCCTTAAAGGAGGTGATGTTTCTCAAGCTCTGAAGCCCTTTTCTTTAGAGAATACACAAGCTCTGTAGGAAAGGAAGACACCTTCTTGTATAATATTTTTCCTATTTATTTAGGGGTGTTCTTCATAAATTCTTTGCCTACTCTGATATCTAGAAGAGTTTTTCTAACACTTTCTCCTAGAAATCTTTTTTTTTTTTTTTTTTTGAGACAGAGTTTCATTTTGTCACCCTTGGTAAAGTGTCATGGGGTCATTGCTTACATCAATGACTCCATGCAACCTCAAACTCTTGGGCTCAAGTGATTCTCTTGTCTCATCCTACCAAGTAGCTGGGACTACAGGTGCCTACCACAACACCCAGCTATTGATGTCTCACTCTGGCTCAGGCTGGTCTCAAACCTGTGAGCTCAGGAAGTCCACCTGCGTCGGCCTCCTAAGTGCTAGGATTACAAGCGTGAGCCACCGTGCCCAGCCTCTTCTAGAATTCTTATGGTTTCATACTTTACATTTAAGTCTTTTATCTATCTTGAATTAATTTTTGTGAGTGGTAAGAGATATGGATTTTGTTTCATTCATGTGGCTATCCAATTTTCCCAGAACCATTTATTGGATACAGCTTCTTTTCCCCAGTGTATATTGACTGCTTTGTCAAAAAAGATCAATTGGCTGTAAGTGGATGATTGTATACCTGGGTTTTCTGTTCTGTTCCATCAGTCTACGTCTCTATTTTTGTGCCAATACCTTACTGCTTTGGTTACTCTAGGCTTGTAGTATAGTTTGAAGCCCGGTAATGTGATGCCTCGAGATTTGTTCTTTTTGCTTATATTGCTTTGGCTTTTCAGGCTCTTTTCTGATTCCAAACAAAGCACAGAATTATTTTTTCTAGATTTGTGAAATATGGCATTGGTATTTATTTTCATGGGGATTGCATTGAATCTGTAAATCACCCTGGGTAGTGTGGATATTTTAACAATGTTGATTTTACCAATCCATGAGCATGCTATATTTTTCCATTTGTTTGTGTTAACTGCAATTTCTTTCCTCAGTGTTTTGTATTTCTCTTTGTAGAGATCTTTCACCTTCTTGGTTAAGTATACTCCCAGGTATTTTATTTTCTTTATAGCTATTGTGAATGGTATTGAGTCTTTGATTTGACTCTCAGCTTGACTTTTACTGGTGTATAGGAATGCTACTTATTTGTGTATACTGATTTTGTAACCTGAGGCTTTGCTGAATTTATTTATCAAGTTCAGGAATCCCTTGGTGGAGTCTTTGGGGTTGATTAAATTAAAAAGCTTCTTCACACCCAAGGAAATAAGCAACAGAGCAAATAGACAACCTACAGAATTGGAGAAAATATTCCCAAACTATATATCTGATAAAGGGGTAATAACCTGAATCTACAAAGAACTCAAGCAAGTCAGCAGGGAAAAAAATTCCAACCGCATTAAAAAGTGGGCAAAAGACGTGAACAGAAGCCTTTCAAAAGAAGATAGACAAAAGGCCATTAAATATATGAAAAAAAATGTTCAGTGTCATTATCAGGGAAATGAAAATTAAAAATACAATAAGATATCACCTTACTCTAGTTAGAATGGCTTTTATTAAAAAGTTAAAAAACAATAGATGCTGGCATAGATGCAGAGAGAAAGGAACACTTACACACTGTTGGTGGGACAACAGATTAGTACAACCTCTATGCCAAACAGTATGGAGATTCCTCAAAGAACTAAAAATAGAACTACCATTTGATTTAGCAATCCCACTACTGGGTATTTACATAAAGGAAGAAAAGTCATTTTATCAAAAAGACATATGCACTCTGATGTTTATTGTAGCACAATTCACAATTGCAAAGATGTGGAATCAACCCAAGTGCCCATTAATTCACGAGTGGATTAACAAAATGTAGTATATGTATACTAAGGAATACTACTCTGCCATGAAGAAAGATGAATTAAGTCCTTTTGCACCAATTTGGATGGAACTGGAGAGCATTATCCTAAGTGAAGTATCTAAAGAATGGAAAAACAAACTGCATATACTCCCTATTAAATTGGAACTAACTGATGAACACACATGTGCACAGAAGGAAGTAAAACTAGTGGAAATCAAGCAGTGGGTAGGGGAAGGAGGGGATGGGAAAAACCTACCTAGTTGTTGTAATGAACACTACCCAGTGATGGGTACACTTATAACCCTGACTCAAGCATAACAAAATTGATACATGTAACTAAAAATATTGGTATCCTGTAATATTTTGAAAATTTTGAAAAAGCAATCTATGTAACCTAAAACATTTGTACTCTCTTAATAGTTTGAAATTTAAATAAAAGGTTTCATGAGAAAAGGTTTAGTATCCAAAACCTTAACAGGAAATTCTCTCAGCCTCTTTAGGGAGTGGTCAAGGGTTTGCACCAAGAAACCGTTTCTGAAGAGAAAATAGGCTGAGTCTCCACCTCACTTCCTCCAGTTTGGTAAATACTATCTTCTTTCTTTAAATTATCGCACTGAGAATTTTTCCAGATGATTTCTGGAAGCTGACTTATGAACTAATTGGGCACTTCTGCTGTGCAGAGGAACAAGGAGTTTTTTTATTGGTCTTCAACTGGGGTATATACCTGTCAGTTGGCGTTGGCTCATTCTGCACATGCTCAGTTCAACAGAAATCTTCACGTTGAACGCAACCTAGCACAGCGGCAACACCCAGAACCTCACTCCCTGCTTGACCCCGTGCATCCACTCCCTCTAGTTGCATTTTTATTCTGAGAACTTTAACATTTATACGGAGTATAATAGAAAGCAGAGTAGGTACTGGGCTGGGACACTATGCAAAGGAGCTTAAAGTCTCGGTATGTTCCTGCCTTCCTGACCTTTCTCTAGGTTGTCTACAGGGAGGGTGGGCGTTGGATAGATATTTGTTGAGTTTGAGGCAGAGCGCGGGAGAAGCTGTCTCTATGGATTAGCGTTTGTTGTCGCACTCCTTCCTAGACAGTTTCTGTTTGATCCTTTTCTTGGACGAACCCCCTCAGCCAGCCCTCATCTTCATTAAGGAATGACAGAGTGGCACTAAAAGCATCCGCTTGCCAAACACGGTCTTGAGTGACAACCTCTCTCCACCTCTCTTCTTGCTTTCCCATTCATTAGCACCCTTTCCTGACTCTTTTCCCAGCAAAAACTGGGAAAGGCTTCCTACGATTACAAAAGAAGGGGTGGGAGGAGCGGCCGGAGTTCGGAGCCTCTCGCCCGAACAACGTACATGCAGCCGTGGACCTTTTGTCCCGGCCCCTTTCGCGGCTTGGTGGCGGCAGGGCGCGGAGGTGACGACTCCAACCAACCCCGCCTCCGCAGCTGCAGCCTTCGAGCCCCGCTTGCCAACCCCCCGCGCCCTCTAGAATCCTGGCGCCCGCCCGCCCCCTCTCTGTGACGCGCCTCGCGTCCCGCGCATGCGCCGCTCAACTCGATTCTCGTTCCCTGGGCCACCGCCTCCCGACAGGCGGAGTCTGTGGTTCTGGAAGCCGCGCCGCCAAAGAGGGAGTAGGGCGTGCATGCGCGAGGCGGATGCGCGCGGCTCTCGAGCGGGCCGGCTGCTGAGGCTGAGGGGAGGAGCAGAAGGCAGTGGCCCTGCCTGCCGCCCGCACGGAGCGCTAGTCCCGCGAAGCCCCCTCCCTCTCCCCGGCGGGCAGCGGCAGGAGGAGGAGAAAGAGGAGGGAGGAGGGAGCGTCTTTGCCGCCGCCTTCTGGTCCCCAGCGCCGATCTGCTGCCGCCACCTCCCTCCACGGCGATCCTCACTCCATGGTCCAGCCGCGGCCCCCCCAGTAGCCCGAGCTGCCCCGCGCCGCGCCAGAGCCGGCCTCCGGCTGAGGGAGCGGTTGCGACCTCGCGGCCCGCGCGGGCTGACAAGCGGAGAGCGCGGCGCGGCGAGGTCCCCAAGGATCCTCACGCCGGGCAGAGCG